CGAATAGTGGGATTGACCGTCACATTATAACGCCCCCACAGCTGAAAGGGCGAGCATGTTTGGTGTGACGAGGATTCGACCTCGCGACCCTCAGATTGCGAGTCGAGCGCCTTAACCACCTGGCCATGTCGGGCCACTGCAAAAGTAATTTACGAGTCAGGGCAACGTTATCCAGTTTGTTTATACAGTTTACTATGTTGCTTGTATTTCTCATTTGAAAAGAAGACACTTAAAGTTCTTGATATGAAATTAAGATATTGACCCAAAAGTAGGTATTTTCCTGTCACGTGTCAGTTAGGCTGACACTAGAAAGTGTGATTACATCGAAAAACAGTCTTGTAAGTTAATATAACAGAGGGTTTCGTTTATTGTAAATCAGCGTGTTTCACGAAACCAATATTTATAGAATCTAATATTTTTAGGTTGTATTAAGCAACGTGGAGAAGCTTCTTACGTACGAGGGAACAGCACTCTCGACAAACTCGGATACTCACGTAAGTATGAGTCTTATGAGCGTCAGTTACGAAAACAGGCAAGTTAAAAAATTACGCCTAAAGCATGTTAGCTTATAAACAATAAATAATTCTTTTGGGAAATTATAATGAGGTGGATAATTTTAAGTTTCTTGAGTTGAGTAAATATTAATTAGTTTGAAGTTATTCAGCCCATTTTTACTCATCTGAAATTCAAAAAAATAAATTAATTATTTATAGTAATCACTTTCTTATCAATCCGTAAAAAAATTTAAAATACCAAAAATAGCGAAAAACAAAAACGTCTTTAAACAAGCTATACTTTAAAAATTAATAAATATTTCAAAACGTTTGTGCAGAAGATATTTGAATATTTAAATCATACGCTACACGACTGTATTTTATATTATACAAAAATTCATTTTAAACAAGTATTCATGGATAAATAGATGTTCCAGCTCACTAAACTCATTGAGTTAGAATACGGAGACTTAATCGTACTTTACAAAAAGTAGTTCTGTAGCCATGAATCGTGGCGCCAGGGACGACATGTTTAATGCTTATATATTTGGTTCTCGTCAAATTACTAGCCTTTCGACGGTAAAATACTGCCACGAATAGCTTTTTGCTGAAGTAGTGTGACAGCATAGCGAGAAATAAGAAAATAGTTGTCATTACTTTATATCTGTAATAAAACTTCGTTGTAATTAATTTATAGCTGTAATAAAACTTCGATGTAATTAATTTATATCTACTACAGGTATTAAAATTAGTTTTTTTAATATTGTTAATTATATAGCCATCACTTTAAATGGAGGTTGCTTCGTAAAAACACAATATAATTCGTAGGATTTTTTTTGTCCTGATTGAATATAGTAAAGATGCTTTCCATTGAAAGTGACATGTTGAGAAGGAGGGATTTCAGATCGACAACTAGAGATTTTGCTGCTGCCAAAGTCAGAAAGAGGTTTTACATATATATATTGTGTGTGTGTGTGTGTGTTGCTTAAACGGTATTTACTAAGTAGTATTGAATTGTACTAGTGTTTTTTTAATGGGGCTCAGCTCTGAGGACTCCTTACAAAATTTGCCTTGGGCCCATCAAGTTCTTGATCAGGCCCTGATCATGCGAACATATTGACGACAATTATGTGAGATGAAATATTTGCGTTTAGTGTTTAGATCGTCATTTATGAATAGTTACGTCGTGACAAAGCGCCAAATCACTCGTCAGTGTTCATAACAACGTTCTATGAAAGAAAGGAAATGAGACATTGTTAGTGCTAACCTCTTCTCCGACATACTTATGAAATCATCTGACCAATGACCTTCTTTCCACACGTTGAAAGCCAACGTCCACGTATAATTCGATGACGAGGAACCGACTTTGAGACGTATGATGAAGGGCATGTGAACAGTTTCTCAAGAAGTATGGCTTAAGAATGATTTCGCCATCCTTATTACTATGGAAATGACGACGTCATGGTCAACAGGGTGAGCAGGATCAACGATGAAAGTAGTCCCATAGGACCTCAACTATCATTCTCATAAATGTAATGAGATTTCTGTATCACTTTCATTCCTTCTAATACAGATTCCTCCACACTTTGTCAACAATACATGAAGTACCCAAATGTCCTGTAGGTAGACTACATACACAATTCTAATATTCACATTCCTCACCAGTTTCGTTCTTTGTTATATTTCCTTAAAATCAAAAACCATAAATGTTCCTAGTTAAATCATGGAGAAAAGACTAAATATCAAAGAAGTTTACTAACTTTTACTCTCTCTCTCTCTCTGAATAAATCTAGATTCCAATATTAATGACTGATGCTAGAAATTCCTAAAAACCTCGAACTAATAAAAGGGATAGCAGTGGCTTTCAAAGCGAACATGCTTTATATCTTCGTGCAAGAAATTCATTTACAAATATTGGGGGTCAATGCAAAGTGTTACACCTGAAAACGAAATTGTTACTTAATTTTACTTTCTTCCGGACACATAAATGTTAATTACGTTTTCCTCTCGTACCTCTTATACTTAACATTCATGACATGACAATATGGTTAGACAACATCTAAAGATAATAGATGGCGCTACTATGTCAGAGATCAATTCCATCACGGGATAATCATGAGAATTTCAAAACAATCCTTTTTAACCACTCATTTGTCATCATACTTAATCTACTATAAACTCTAGGATTACTTTCTTTAACCTATGACTTATTATTCATCAGTTACAAGTCGTATGGTTGGCGTATTACGTGTATAGGTTAACTATCCTAGGAAAAGCTTTATTATCAGCAAATATACCTTGCTCATATATAATACGCACTGTAACAACAAAAATTAAAGTAACAAATGCGTAACACAGGCTGGAACTTTCGGCTGATTCTATTGAAAACGAAAATAAATAAGTAATTAGTTTTGTGTTTATTTTACGCTTCCAGTTTGAGAATAGGCTGATATATTTGACGTATATAATACTTCATTTCGTTTTGGAGTTGATAATTTTCTGTTCTTCTTTTTATTGTAATTGCTTCAATTTGTTTTTGTTTTTTAAATTGTGTAACAATTTTACTTGCTAGTAAAGTGTGAAGGTTTGCATTCAAAAGAAGATGGAAACAGAACAAATACAGATACCTGATTCAGCTTAGTAGTTGGCTGTACATCTCAGTTTGACTTTGTCAATATCATCGGAATCGGCTGCAACGTTCGTGAATGCCTGTATTCTGCACAGACCAGTCAGTCAAGTTTCCATGCCTCTACCAGCGGTCAAACACAGACCAGTCAAGGCTGTATGTCTGTCCTTGTGATCGATGCAAATTAGTGAAGAATCCATCCCACTATTAGTGGTCAACACAAATTAATAAAAGTTTCATGTCTATACCATTAATCAACACAACGTTCTGTGCCTGTACTATTTATTAACATATATATATAAGTCACATTTTCACGTCTTCACCAGTGATTGACACAAATCAATCAAACTCAATGACTGTACTATTTATTAACATTATATATATAAGTCACAGTTTCACGTCTTCACCAGTGATTGACACAAATCAATCAAACTCAATGCCTGTACTATTTATTAACATATATATGTAAGTCACAGTTTCACGTCTTCACCAGTGATTGACACAAATCAATCAAAACTCAATGCCTGTACCAATGATAAAATATTTTGTGTCTGGAAAGCCAGAAAAGTATCATAAACCCAGTGGAACGTCGTTGAATTTGTTGATTTCGGCGGCGGTTCGCAATGAAATTTCAGTAAGGGAACACGCTCAAGTTTTAATATGTTTCCGAGTGGCGGATGTACTTCTTGACGATATACCAAACTAATTATGCGATCTTTTGCGAGTGTAATAGGATCATTTTTTGTTCTGGTGCAGTATAATTTCAGGCGTTATACTGCTATCACTGTCATGGACTTTCCTGAATAAAAAAAACAAACAGAAGTCATGAACTGGTCAGCAAATTATCGTAAAATTCTACAGGGCACTGCTGAGTTCTCCTTGGTCGCTGTGACGTCTTCACCCACCACGCGACGTCGTAGAAGATGGCAATACAGGAATGAATTAGGATATCTTATAACATCGTCCTGCTTAGTGATCAAAAATATTTGTTACATATGGAGGGACTGGATTATTAACGGTGGAGCTCATATCCATTACAGAATGTTTCTTTTTGCCCACTGTTTCTCCTTCAGACAGGTTGATTTAGTCAGACTCTCACTCTGATCTCTTTAAATTTGAGAAAATTAAAATTCAACATGTTATAAGCAGTGATTTATTGTTTTAGTGAATAAATTAATGCTTCTACTCTACTATTTACATGATTGGAGGACAAGTATCTATACAATATTTCTATTATATTTATAAATCGTTTTTGTACAAATTATTATACAACCACTAGCTTCATGGTAAATAAGTACTAATTTGAAAAAGGTTTGGAATAAACTTCTATAACTGTCCGTACTTTTCATGAAACATATAAGAAACAAAACAATAAGTTCCTATTTATTAATATTGAAAATCACACCTGATGAGACTACGACAAGTTTCATTTCCTTAGGACTAACAAGTTCGTGTTAACCAACAGCATGTTTTGAGTGAGACGCATTGTTAATGTGAGAAGAACTGTTAGATTGTTAGGTTTTATTCTGATTAATATCAGTTTGTTTCAAACAAAAAACAAACAAACCTAGCATTCCAATAACTCCTGTGGTCCTCAATAATATTACTACCTATGTTGTGTACGAGCCGAAATGCCGCGATGTTTAAGGCCAGCATAATATTGAAATAATACAGTGGGGTTCTGTTTTCTTATAGGCTCTACTGAAGGAGAAGGTCATTGATCTTGTTCAAAGTTTAGCCAAGTTCGCAGGAGAGATTTTGAAGGCTTACGTATCTTCTTTTGGTCGTCACATCATAATATCTCCTACTTCTGTTATAGGTAGGTCATACAAACAAGAATTAGGTGAAAGGAGTTTATGTTTTGTTTTAATGTTCAGCACTTTTAATTTGCCTCCTACACCTCTGATACTCAAATGTTCTTAAAGTTTCGTGTAAAATACACAGTACTGCATTACTAATTGTTTATGTTAAACCTCTGTTGTAAAAGCAAGCTTTCTACATAGATCAGAAACAAAAACATTAATACAGTATTGAATATAGTTCATTTAATATACAGGGTGTCCAAAAATTCTGGATCCAGAGGCGCTTCAATGAATTTAACAGAATATGTTCCACATGCTGTGGTTCTAATTCGAAACAAGTTTGGAGACGGTATGTCCACTCTTTTTGAATACTGTGAAGCATATTGATGTCATTGTCAATAGCCTCACACTCATTGCAAATTCGTTTCTTTTTCCCAGGCGTTCGGTATCCCTGATCTTATCTTTCTACACACGTGCCTTGAGCAGTCCCCAGGAAAATAAATCTATGGGAGTAAAGTCAGGAGACCTTGGGGCCATTACTGGGGACCACGTCTGCCAATCCAATGTCTAGGGAAGATGTCATTCAACCAATCTTTGAAATTAAGAAAGCTGAAAAACCCCTATGGTTCCATATTTTTTGGACACCCTCTACTGTTCCTATATATAATTATTAGAATCCGTTGTTTCATTAATTAGGTATATCATTAGCGATATTTTCATTCCAGTAATATCTCACGAAGTTCGAACAGCATAGGAAATTTAAATTAGTCCTAAATCCCTGCACTAAGTAAGCAATGTAAAAATATTCTAAAAATAAAAATAAAAAATAATAAAAAATAGCTATATTAAACATTTTAACCAATACTGTTGATTAAACAGATAATGCCACTTACGGAAACATAAATAGAAGAGGTTCACTTTCGCAGATTTCATGATCTTTGAGATCAGTAAAACTGTACAGAGTCCTCTAACGTGTGATTCTCTATATACTCCTTCAAATATGAAAAATAGCCTGTTGTGTACAGCATTACCTTATTTAATTTCTAGCACCGGGTTCATATTAGTTTCATTTCACTTTGTATACCCAAGTGAGTTAAAATATTTACTTATCTATTTATGTAAGTTAAAACGTGCGCTTGTTATATTTTTCTCCTTTTGGATTATTGTTCCGTAGCCAAACATTAGAAAAATGAATTGTATTTTTCTATGTTTTATCGTAAGAAAACTAAGGTACTCTAATGAAAAATGACTGCCCAGAAAGGGGGATTTATCTAAACTTAGGTTTCGGTTTCGTGACTTGCTGACGTACAAAAAGTTATGTTCTAAATGTTTTTATGGACTAGGTTTAGAGTGAAATCTCTTGTGAGTTATCTCAATGAGTTAACACCAAGTCACATTTCTAGCCCTGTTTAATATAACTACGTAAGGCTCACAGAGTTGTATTATTTAACTTTAGTTTTTATATTGTTATATCCGTTTATATCCGTTTCCATTGTTTGTGTCAGTCAACTACCCAGATTTGCTAGAAATCTGTTTGCATGCTCCTTTGCTGGAGCTTAATGCTCATAATTCCACGGAGAAAATGTGCATACTTATCAGAGTAATAGACAAGATACCAATTATGTATTTTATAATACCTAAAAGAGTTGTTTTTAATATGTCGGACATATGTTTAACACATGAACCAGATAACTGCACCATTGATTTCTATGTTGAACTGAATTTGAGCTGCGTTAAGATGGCAAATAATTAACTTTCGTGTGCTTATTCTGTCATTCACATCATAAATCAGCCTCCTCTATCTTCCACGTTCCTAGGATATATGGACCCTTATAAAATGTTATGAATGGTTATCACACTCATGAATTAATAATTAATAAACAATGTTCTCATTTGAACTTTTTATAAAATATTTTCAAACCTAATGTGAGCAATAACAGGTGAAAATCATAAACAGAAAGTTTCTGTTTATATTAAGAGAAATACTTACAATGAACGTTTTCACTGTCACTTATTTTAAATAATGTAATTTCAAATAACAAAATACACTCTTGCCCTCATTATTACCTAAATGTGCACTTTACCTAATCTTGCGAAAATACACATTTCAAGATTACTAAGAATTTGTTTGTTTTTTGAAGTTCGCGCAAAGCTACACGAGGACTATCTGTGATAGCCGTCCCTAATTTAGCAGTGTAAGACTAGAGGGAGGGCAGCTAGTTATCACCAACCACCGCCAACTCTTGTCTACTCTTTTACCAACGAACAGTGGGATTGATCGTCACATTATAACGCCCCCACAGCTG